GCTCTAAGCGGACAGAATGCTTGTAAGTTTAGGTGTGCTGCTGTACCAACAATATTAAACTACGTCCACCCACCCCTCGCCCAAATCGGATCAGTCAATTTAGGTCTGTTCAATTCGCCTGAACTGGCTGAACTAGTTCAGCAGTGCAGGAACTGGTGCATTCGATTCAACCGGAGGTTGCACGACCGCTGCACTGGCGCGTTTGATTCATCCCAGTTCTGAACGAGTTAAGACCCAGTTCCTCAAAATCAGGCACGTATCCAGGGGGGAGGCCCAGGGGGCCCGACCCCCCCCCCCCCCCCCCTCGAAATCTTTCATTTTGCTGGGACCTCCTTTCCCCCCTCCCCCTCATACAGCTTTTTGTCATGGGCGGTCCCGCCCCCCCCCCCCCCCCCCCCCCCGCCCCCGAAACAAAATCCTGGCTACGTACCTGCTCAAAATCTTGCACCGGCTCCGGACTCAGTTCAGCGCCCGTGCAGAAGCAGACGACAAGAGCAGACGGCGATAGCAGACGACACTCTTCATCCGTCTCTGCTCGTGGTGCCATTTTTCGCAGCTCTTGCTCAAATATGTCTGCGATGTTTAACAACAACGCCGATACGGAGGTTGCATTTCCTCTCATTTAGGATAATAACGTACCCGCGGTGTACGCGGAATCGAGATCATACCCGAGGGTAGGAATATGCTTGATTATGATATTCTGAAAGCGTTTTAGGCACCTGCTCCCGTAGGTTTGGCTCCCTGTGGTGAGTGTTGAAATATTGGCTCACATAAATTGTTTCCTTTTGATGCTATGTGGGGCTCCACAGTGTTGATATTCTTACTTACAGACACGGGAAAGGTATTGCCCTCTTGATAGTCCCCGCCTTCAGTTGCTCTTGGATGCATATTGACGACTCCGATACAATGCAGGGGTCTGGGATTTAGTGCGTTGGCACTCGCATGTTCCCGTAGCTGAGCATAATACTGCATGCTTTGTCCGCTGGTATCTGTGGACGCCCACTAACGGGCCTGAGATTTTTTTTTTTTTCGTGGTTCGACGTTAAAGTTACGGTCGATGACTGTCTTGGCCAAGACGCTACCGTCAGGCCTTCTTCGAGGTGACCGGTATACCGACCGCGCGCTGCGCCAGTGACTCCCGACGCAAAATCATCCCGATGCCACGAACCTATCGTCGAAATGCAGATTTCCTTTGAGGGGCATTTGCCGCTACCTTCTTGACTTGTAACCGACTATAGTTCAGAACTTCCTGGCCGAATCGAACATACTTTGATTATCCAGCGTAACCGAAACCAAGAGCTAAGCCATCTCGAAATGGTTCCAGAGGTTGTATTTAGCACGCGTGCAGCCCGATATCTGTTTGACCCGCGTGTGAAAATGGAGCGTGACTACGATTCACCAAGCTCGTCCAAGTCAAGTGACGACATGCAATTGAACGGTTCGCCGCTTGCCTTCGACCCGCGGACATTGCCTCTGAGGGAATGACCCGCAGTCTCATCACCAATCCAGTGGATCCGCCGAAATATGTACCCAGATGCCGCTTCGTGTACCTAGGTGCAGCTTCAGAGGCGATATCTGCATCCTGCTTTGCAAGCTTTGTGTTTGCGCGAAACGGCATACGTTTGCTCGAAGCTTATGGCTGTCTGCGAGTAATATCCTGCTAAAAGGCGTGACTTTTTTTGCACGTGTTGGGAACTGCATTAAAAGAACCGTATTTCAGTAGGGTACTGCCTAGGAGGCTATATAATTCGAAACAAAATAAAAGGCATCCATCGACCAACTCTTGTTATCCCGACCATCCGACAAACCTTTGCGCTTTGTAACGTCACGCAGCGCCTACGGATGTCAGCCATTGACACTGGCGAAATTCGGGGTGCAGTTTCGTACATGGGCTCATGAAACGTTTAATAAATAACGGGAGATCATATATCAAAATAAAAATAACGTTTGTCTATATGAAGGCTCCCTCGACGTAACGAACGCAAGAACTTAAGTACTTCCGGTTTCGACCGGACAATCCCTTTAAGCAAGCGAAACGTTTCGCCGAGCGGCGCTCACCGTGCGCGTGGCGTCAAGGAGAGAAACATCTGTTTGTTGAAAATACGCAGAGGTTAATCGAACTGAATGATGCATGGGAGGTGTGACGATTGTACGGGAGAGATATAGCCTGCGGTACAATCCTACATAGCACAGTATGATCTTTGTGCCAAGTTGGCTTTCAGTGAAGAAAACAGAATATTAGCAGAAATGGCCCTATTCAGCATGTTATTGCAATCTGTAGGGGTATTGGTCATCGGTACGATGAAGAAGGAGTTACTGAATCACTAGAAAGATTATACGTACAGTACGTGATATGTGAACTGCTGATAAAATATTGACTTCCTTGTATTATAGTTTAAGGTCCCGTGCAACTTTTTACACCAATATGTGAAAAACTCAAGGTTCACGTAACAAGTTAGTTTACCATGACATTGTTAAAGGGGTGATGCAACGATTTTTGTACTATGCGTAAATACCGCTTAGAACGGATCCCTGGCGTTAATGACCTGTGAAAGACCCGTTCATTTTTAACCACACGCAATCGAAGTCACAGAAAAAAAATTAAAGAAAAACGAGCAGCGTTCACCCCCTCACCTCGCAGCCAGAACAAGCGGCCATGTGTGCTGGACCCGATTATATGCCGCCAATGTTGATCATAGCCACGCGCTGGGGTCGGCAAAGCATAGGACACGCGCTGAATTCCAGACATTGCTATGGTTCGGCTATTGTTGCCATTGCAGCGATTGGACACGAGCCACTCCCCGAATGCTTTTCAAGCTATCGATTATCACGAGCCCAAATCGAGTGCCCACACAATGCTCTGATCCAACCGATGAACCGCATTAACTATCGTCACTGGGAGGTACTGCGACCACCCAGCTACGTCATCATGTTTTGCGAAGGAGAGACTGAATGAAAGTGATCGCTTTTGTCCTTGAAATTACACCGCAACAAAGGAGTTCCTTGGCCAGTGGCGTTGCGTGCGAGTATCCTTGAGTCCCACTAATGCCAGTAAGCTCGTGTTAAGTGAAAAAAAAACACATTCCAATTGAATATCGCTGCACCGCCCCTTTAAATAGGTCCGTTGATGACGCCATAATCCGTAAATAGGTGCACAAAAAAAAAACGAAATTGGAAAAGTGTTTTTTATCTGCAGAAAAAATAGATCTTATAAAACATACAACCTTCGTCTCAAATTACAGAGCAGACTGTGCCGCTTTCACTTTTTATTCTCATGAGCACGTAGCGAAAGTGTAATGGTGTAACGAGGTTCAGCAACTTCTCTACAGTAAGACTGCGCTTGCCATGCTATAATCAATGCTGCTTGTTTGTGTGTAGTTCATGAAAGCTTCTGGTTTATTCAAACTCAAGGGCAACATATTTCGCCTATCTCTAAGTCCGTATATACGCGTCTTTGGCACTGTGCATACAATCACCTTAAAGATACTACTTTTCTCCACAGGTCTCTTACAGCGGTATTGCTTTTCTTGCGTATTACAAAGCAGAGAAATAATCTTTTAAATACCGCCAAGCACCGACGCTGCATGAGGTGCGAAGATGTGCGCGTGTTTCGCCGGTGTGTGGATAACACAATCTCGGTATTCATGAAATCTCTTCATAAAGCAACCTGTCACTGGGAATTTAAATCAGTTCATCAAAAATGAAGAGGTCAAGAAGAAACTGCTCATTCCGTGAACCGAAATGACGACTCCATACGGGGAGCTTTCCCAGGGTCCAGTGACCTTAATAGTAACTACCCGCTGCACCAGCAGCAGCTTTTGAAAACTCATTTGCTCCTCCCGCCGATTTCCGTCTGCAGTTTGCCTTGGAGTTTGTTTTTTAATCCACCGTGGGCAAACTAAAAAAAAAAAAATGTTTGCTTTCCGGTAGCAGTAAAATACTTGTCGCGAGAAATGTGTCGCGCTGGTGTTGAACCCTAAATGCACAGCCGACTAATCGTCCCATCGTGCTTTCGGTCTCGAAGCGCCCAATGGATCCGCGTTAAATTAACTGCGTAAACCATCGCCAGCGCCGAAGGGTCGGATTCGATCCTGAGTCCTGGAAGGAGGCTAGACCGTATTGAAAAAGACTGATTGACACTGGATCCGAAACTGGACAGAAAGAAATTGCCAGACTGCTAAAAAAAAAAAAAAAATAAAAAAATAGTCCGGCCAGAAAAAAGCCTGACATTTGCTCACACTCATTTTCGGATCCGGACTGGCTCTGACATTTTTCAACTATAGTTTTGATCTGACATCTTCTTATAGGGAGTATTCACTGGCGGCCATAGCTGTGTGCGCGAATGCTGAGCGCGTGCTGATGGCGAGCTTCCACAGTTCTTTTGCAACGTGCATTCCGCACCATCAAGAATGCCGGTCTTAGCAGCCTATTGATGGGAGCCCGTTCTGAGCATACGCTCCAAACAGCACCCACAAATATGGCGTCAAGTGAATACTCCCTATAGAAGATTGCAATCAAGGACACCGGCCGTCGCCAAGCCTCTTCTCGTGCGGACAGGCCGGTGCAATTTCAAGCTTGTCAAAGCTATGTTCACGCGCAAGCTGCACGTGCTTGACTCATGGGACACTAGTCGGGGCGATGCTTGCAATTGTCTATACTTCGTTTCACCTTATGTTGTACCGCAGCGAAGGCTAGAAGTGCGAGCTCACAGCGGTGGCAGCTGCCCTTAATGCGCGAGAGCTTGTGGCGCCTAGATGTGCCCCAGAGCAAGGAGCTCGCGCTTGTAGCCTTTCCTGCGGTACATCATAAGGTGAAATAGAGTATAGACACTGTAGGACGTTTTGTCGGATTCAGCGGTCAATCAAAGTTGCGAAGGAAAAAGCAGTGCCTCAAAGCGCGTATACCATAACTGTATTTTTATTTTCGTGAACGAACCTCACAGGCGCAACTGGTGACATTTATTTAGAACATCGCCGTAGAAGAGTAAAATCATTGTCTCTCTACTTAAGATACGCCTTGTACAAAAACTCGCTCCGGCAACTGCCGCGCTCTTGCTCCAGGAGGAAAAGGACGTCTCTGACCTTGACCCTCTTCAACCTCGGACACGTCGGAACCATGGAACTTGCGCTCGAGCACGCGATAGCCGAACTCTCGCCGCTTTGTCGATCTCGTGATCCGATTGCTAACAACGCGGTGATGTTGGCTTCTTTTTGACGCATCTTTTCCGCGTCCGCTTTCTGCATTTCCTTCGCCTTCTGCTTGAGCTTCAGTTGCTCGGGGTCGTCCATCCTGGAGCGACTCCTAGCCGCGCGAAGCAGCATATCTCGCTCTTGTTCACTGTGTCGTCTCTTCGCAACCCTGTCGATTTCCTCCAGAAACCTTAGTTGTCCCCTCACGTCTTGCATAGCATCGTAGCGAGCATCGACTCGGACACTCTCTTGCCGATGCTCAGAAATGACGCTGAGTTTCTCCAGCAGTGACCGGAGGCGTTCTTGAGTAGCCTGCGACACGAGGGCCAGAACGTCGTCTGGAATTTCGCTGATGCCGTACTTCGCAGACATGCCTGCTATCCGTCTTCGAAGCGGCTCCGTGAAAAGAAAATTGTAGTCCTGGCACGAGCGAACCTCCGTGCCTACGAGTCCGGCGTGTGACGACAAAATATTGTGATTTTCCTCAACCAAATTGACGCCTCCCATCGCTGCAACGTCATTGATGTCATCGTCAATCTTTTGCGATACAGAGGCTCGTTTTTTCCTTAGGATCCCGATGGGATCTCTAACCACCGGTGGCACCCCTTTGAACGGCGGAATCCCACTCGAGAGTGGCGCGAGACCCGTAGATTTCGACAAAAGAAGGCTCGTTCCAGCGGCTGCCGCACTCGCGGTTGATGCTGAACGCGTCGCAAGTCTCTGCTGTTGTGCAAACACAGCCTGAAGTCTCGAAGGATTTTGAAGCTGCGTGGCGAGCGATCTGGGAGTCAAAATTTGCCTGTGTGTCGCCGAACGAGGAAGAATCGACAGAGAATTGGGATCTTTTTGTAGGCTTTGAGCTGCCGTCATCGTCGGCGACATTGGGACGGCAGTTCTTGGCGGGCGCAGTCCTTCGATAGAAAACTCTTTCTTGAGTAGTGAGTGCCTCAAATGTGGCAGACTGTTCCTTAGGAAAGGAATGAGACATGGTTGCGGTGAAGAATTCAGCTCCTTCTCCAACTGCTTCGTGAAATCTTCCGGTTGAATAATTCCGTCAATAAGACCCTGAATGAGACATCTGACACTGGTGGCAGTGTGCTCGGGCTGAGCACTCGCCAGGCGAATCAAGGTGGAGAGAAAGTTCTTGCATTTATTTTTTGCCATGTCTGGCGACATCTGAGGCGGGGTTGAAGTCCCTGTGTGACTGTTGGCTAGAGCGGTCTGAACAGTGAGTGGCTGCGCAGGGGGACCCGCCCTTACCGTCGGCAGGCTCAAACCACCTTGCTGTTGCATAGTGCCCTGGCCGACTAACTTTGCTTGCCCAACACCTGGCAGGATGCCAGGTCCTGGTTGCCTTTGCCTCAACACCGTTCCCACCATCTGAGTGGGTAGAGCGTATCTGGCCGGTATTTGCTGGAACATTTGTTGTCCTCCACGGGTTTGGGGTGGCCGCAGTCTAAAGGCCTCCCTGACCATAATGGTTGGTGCTGACGGACCTGAACTGAGAGCAGGGCCCATGTTCACCATCTCGAGCTGGCCGCCCTCAGTCTTCACCAGCATGGCGCCATGCATTACCCCACTCTGAAGCGAGAGGGCACCCTGGACGGCTGAAGCTGTACCTCCAGCTCTGGTGGCCAACGGCTGCGAGGTCAGCCGACTTGGGTTCTCGAGGCACAGTCGGGGCCCGAGTGCTCTCGGCTCACCGGGTACCGGTCTCGGGGGGTTCATCTGCAGAATTACCAAGTTCCGGAGAGTAATTAACTATCAGAATATTTTCGACGTGATGGCGCGTGCTACAAATTCTTAAAGATGTAAAAACTACAGTAATTACGTGGCCATTGACGGCACTACAGGGTCAGTTAAACCTCACCTGAGCGTCGAAAGTCACAACAATTTTGCACCGAGGCCCGCCCTGATGTTTTTATGTTCATAACTAGTGTGGCAATCGGTGGCAGTTAAGTTACACAGGGTGTTTTCTTTGAACTCTTTCCATATAAAAAAAGACCATGAAACATACGCTAGAGCGGTCTGTGCAGGTGAGTCATACGAGCAGGTGTAAATTACATGGGGGTAATCGCCCCGATAAGTTGGGCAATTGGAGAATAGACCTTGAGCTCATTATACTCTAGCCGTGACTTGAAATTATGATTACAAAATTTCAAGTCGACGCCACTACGATAAATGTAATTCGTGTACACGGCTTTAAACCTGAACTATCCTGCCGAAAAGCCCCTGTAACGTTGAGTTCACCGCACCGGCTTCGCAACCCCTCAGTCCACGCCGCAAGTAATGTCAGCAGTCTGACACAAGGAGAGAGCGAAGGGATCGACGCCACAAGTGCGCTTCAACGTGTTAGTTTCGGTTTCGAGCCGTGTACAAAGATGACGTTTCTCGCCCCGTACGCCAACTTTGAAATTTTTCAGGATTTCACGTCATGGCTAGATTATAAGGATGGCTCTACCATACTTCATAACAAGTCACTTCATCTCAGGACACTTCATTAAGTCAATTCATCTCAAGGTGTTTTACCCCACACAGTTCATCATATGAACATTTCATACCACGGCATTTCGTGCCAGAATAGTTCATGCAGTATTCAGAGACTTTTAGGAGCCTTCCAAGGGTCACTCACTTCATCCCGTGTAACTTCATCCCAAAACACTTCATCCCAGACACTTTATGCAAAATAGTTTTATCCCGAGATGTCCCATCCCAAGACGCTTCATACCAAGGACATTCCATACGTGGATATTTCATACCAGAAAGTCTCCTGCCTAGAAGATGAAGTTCATCCCAATGCATTTCGTCCCAGGCACTTCATGCAAAATAGTTTTATCCCGAGATGTCCCATCTCAAGACGCTTCATACCAAGGACATTCCATACGTGGATATTTCATACCAGAAAGTCTCCTGCCTAGAAGATGAAGTTCATCCCAATGCATTTCGTCCCAGGCACTTCATGCAAAATAGTTTTATCCCGAGATGTCCCATCTCAAGACGCTTCATACCAAGGACATTCCATACGTGGATATTTCATACCAGAAAGTCTCCTGCCTAGAAGATGAAGTTCATCCCAAAACACTTCATCCCAGACACTTTATGCAAAATAGTTTTATCCCGAGATGTCCCATCTCAAGACGCTTCATACCAAGGACATTCCATACGTGGATATTTCATACCAGAAAGTCTCCTGCCTAGAAGATGAAGTTCAGCCCAATGCATTTCGTCCCAGGCACTTCATGCAAAATAGTTTTATCCCGAGATGTCCCATCTCAAGACGCTTCATACCAAGGACATTCCATACGTGGATATTTCATACCAGAAAGTCTCCTGCCTAGAAGATGAAGTTCATCCCAATGCATTTCGTCCCAGGCACTTTATGCAAAATAGTTTTATCCCGAGATGTCCCATCCCAAGACGCTTCATACCAAGGACATTCCATACGAGGATATTTCACACCAGAAAGTCTCCTTCCTGGAAGATGAAGTTCATCCCAAGTATCATAAGGTTAGGCCTAACCTTAAGTTAGGCTTACTTTTAAGGTGGGCGTAATTACGTAAGATTACGTGCTCCCGTAAACACGTCTTCATGGGTTATTCACGTGATTTACGTAATTACGACCAACGTAAGGTTAGGCCTAACCTTACGGTGGGCCTAAATACATAGGATTAAATGATCAAGCCCCTTGCGTGATTGCGACTAACGTTGGGCCTAACCTAACGGGACGCGTGATGACGTAATCGTACGTGACACGTGATCACGTAATGTCATGCTTAAGGTTAGGCCCAAGTAATAAAAGTACCCAGGCGTAAATCTGCGTTCTTGCACTACTGACGCGCACTCGAAAAAAAGCAGCAGAGCCTCAGCCAAGCACTTCTTCCTTGGCAATACACACTTGTGATTGCGCTGGTCATACTGATAAACACCACGTGATAAATTATAGAACAATCGATACGATAACATATATTCAATATTAGAGATTAATGATGAACGACACGAGAAACAGACTTTTATTTTCCGACGCTGCAGGTTTTGCTCAACTAAAGGTCGTTGCGTTCTCCGATCCATCGACCCCATTCGTCACCGTCGTCATCGATCGTCCATCAACAACCCGTTCAAGCACGTGAGCGGCCGTCTTGGATCGCGATGTTTGTTATACTGTTTTGTTACGGCGGGAGAACCGAAGCCTACCACCGGTGTCGCAAACAGCGCTTGTATACTCGTATGTTCTACAAGCACTACATAGGCGGAATAAATACTACAGTGTCATTCCATGCCAAAGAAGACGCGGCAATTTTTTTCATGTCTGGGATATGTACAAAAAAAATATAATTTAAATAAAAACGCCTCTGTACTCAATTTTTTTTTTTTTTTTTTGTGTGTGAGAAAGAAATTTTATTTTTGCTGATATCATGCTCCGATTTTCAGGAATTTGCATAAAACCCACGTAGTTAGAAAAACAGTGGGAAAAAACGGTTGCGTACCACACAAATTTAGGTGGGCACCTAATTAATTAAAAAATTCCGAGGACACCCAAGCTCTCCTTACGAGCTCTGAATGCAAAAGCATGAAAGTCGTTCTCCCGCTCCCTTAGTTCGCCTGCGGTGTACAGGCGTGGACGGCCACGTTTCGCTACTGCCGAGGTTGCGGCCGCCGACGATATAGATGCCAGTCGGCATGCACACGCCATCGCCCGAGCTTGCACCGCCCAGGCACCCGACGCGGACACGGACCAATCCACCGAAGATTCCTCGCCTCTCGTAATGCCTTCCCCGAGGCCCTGGCGTTTCAACGCAGCCAACGTTTCAAGTATCCACCGCCTAATCACTCACTAACCCGGGAGGAGGCCACGAGCAGGTGTCAGCTACAGATGACAACATTCAAACATTTGGCACCCCAGCATAAATTCTACCCCAACAAATATCCAGACACTTGTCCACACTGCGGCGAGTACCCATCCTTCTATTTGCCTCTATCATGTCACTTGGGCGTGTCTCTCCAACCCCTCGCTCCCCCTTTCCTCTTCCCCTTCCTACGAGAGCTGGGAAGCTGCGCTGCTCAGCCCCTCCTCCGACGACCAGCAAATGCTGGTACAAAGGGCAAGGGCTGCAGTAGAGAGTACTGGAGCCCTGGACTAAGCCCCCCCCCCCCCCCCCCCCTTCCCCACCTAGACCAAAAATCTACTTTTTTATAAGTGCGCTGGTGAGAAAGTTAAATACTAGAAATAATCAAACATAAAGGACGGACAAAACAAAACATGTTTCTTTTGTTTTGTTTCGTCCGTCCTTTATGTTTTATTATATCTAGTATTTAACAAAAAATCTCTCTTGCAATCAATAAAAGTTTCTTCCTTTTCCTCAAGCGCCGCCATGTTTCTTGGCACCGAGAGGAGCAGACGCGGCCGCAGCCCCCCAGCCCCTTCCGTCAACGCCTGGCCGAGCGCGCGCTCTCTTGAAGCGACCGCCAATGTCCATCTCGGTACCGTTTCGCTCAGCCAATGGGAGATTAGGCATTTCTTTCGCGCTTTTTCGCGGTTACAGACTCCGCGGGCTCCGCTCCATTGGACACTTACATGCCCTCGCATTAATAATATGCCCTATCTTACACTAAAATACAAACATTAACAGACGCCATTTTGGGTCCGCATAGGAGCTCCGAAAAGGAGACTTTATAAAATTTCTCTTTTTTTTTCAGTCATTATCGATTTCGGTGTTACCTACAATACTTTTTTCGTTTGTTCTCATAGAACTAATAATTGAATTCCACTTGATAAATTTTCAGAGCCTCGTTTTGTTGCGTTCTAATTAAATGGCAAAATACCCAGTTTATGGAAACGGCCATATTGAGAGCCAGAATAAGCAATGTGGACAGCGGTGCCCGGAATTTTCGAAATAGCCAAAAGTTCAATTCATCTCCTTCGTTTAACATATCCCAAATTTAGAAAAATATTTTTTGTTGTTGCTAAGAATTTTTTTTTATGTTTTTTTTTTACCATATGCCTCCAGGCGCCCCCGCATCGTAAGCGACGTACGCCAGCGTTTGCAAGCGTGGCGTCAGCGGTGTGAGACGGCGACGCAAGGCCTTCAACACACTCCTAAAAACACGTTTTATTCAGTTGAAGTGGACTTCATCCTTACTTACATGCATCTGCATCCTCTTTGCGTTACGTAGTGATACTGACGTCTTAATTTTACTCTACTTCTTTCCGGGTAATTGCCGACGAACGCAGGCCTGCATCGTCTGCTTCCCGAGTTTGAAATGCATACTACGCTTCGTCCTCGTCTGTCGTATGTCCAGATATAAAAACTATCCAGACCGGATAGCTCTTCACCTATGAGAAATGACAACGTTGATGTCGCTTGTCTATTGAACTTAAATGTATTTTAATAGAATATTTAGTGCTACCAAAAGCATGTGTAATGATCGGAAAGGGATTCCGCTCTCAGTGGCGGACGGCTCACACCCCTGAGGTTCAGTACATGTGCAAACGTTTAGACTCCGGGATACTCTGGAAGCCAGCAGAACATGTATCGAATTCTGAACTTTTTATTATTTTTAGAGGAAATGTGTTT